AAATAATTTTTAGAAGCATAGAAATAAAAAGATTTCTATATAGAGTCCAAAGCATTCATTTAGAAACATAACGATCTACTGCATGCCACAATTTTAACATCGCTAAAGCAAATACACAAATGAAAATCACATACTGGGAGAATTAAATTTTAGAAGATTAATTTAATACAAGGAAATAATATTTATTTATCTTAACTAAGGGAAAATGTCTTGGCATTTACATTTGGCCAGGAAATTTGGAACTTAACTTCACTTCATTCCTATCACATGATACCCATTTTTTCCTAGAAATTCTTTTATTCTGGATGAGCGGGGAATCTTTCTTTCATCTTTTGTGTTCGTCACATAAAGCACAATTTTGGTGCCCAATCCCTAGGAGCTCATAACTAAATGGAGAGAAGAGACAATCTAAGTACAGAAATGTATGTGATGTGATGATAAGTACAGTCATGGGTGCACTAGAGTTACGCTTCTGAAGAGGTGAAAAGTCTGCAGTAGAGAAGGGAACAGTAAAACACACATGTTAAATGAGTCAAAGAAAGAAACTACAAAGCCAAGTTTCAGAGGATAGAATGGACTGTCAGAGCAAAAAGCAGTTAGTGGAAGGAGAAAAGGCCAACAAATAAAGGTGAGGAAAAACTATGGAAAGGGATGAATTCCAAGCCAAGGGCTTTAAACTTTATAGCAATACTTCCTACAGAGATTATCTATTTCATACCAGCACTAAGCAGAACTTCATCTGTATCACTATCCATTCTCATAACCTACAAATTATCATTCCTGCATCCCCTTTAGATGAGTAACACAGTATTGTCTTAATCACCACTACAGCTCCAGAACCTAGAACAGGATCTAATACCCAAAGCACATATGCTGACTGGCCAAAAATAACTTGCCCATAGCACCAAGTTGACAGTAGCAGAGTTTTAGTTCTCATTCAAGTCTGTCTGGCTTCAAGGCTCTATAGTGAGATCTACTAAAGGCCTTTGAACAAGAAAGCAACATAATCAATGTCATACTTGATTGGAAGAAGGAACCAGACTGAGGCAAAGACAGCAATTTCAAGGGTCCTATTTCATGTTTAAAATCGTAAGGCTCAGCAACAGAAATAAAAGCAATGGAAATCAAAAAGGGCAGCAGTGAGAGGCTGTGAAAAGTAAAAGAGGTTTTGTCAAGGGATTGCTTTGTAGGGAAGAAGGGAAGTATTAGGTACGAGTTTCCAAAGTCTTAAACTTGCCAATATTCTTCTAATATCTTTAAGTAGTAACACTGGGGTGAGGGACTAATTTTGGGGACAGAATGAGAACAATAAACATGATGCAATTAGCAAGATAAGAGAACTGCTTTGCTGCTATGAGCTGTCTTTCACACACCAGGAATTATCTTGTTTCTTACCCGAATGTCTTTTGGATGTTCCCCTTCAGCTATCCTAACCATCCAAAGAAATTTGTTGATATCATCACCAGAATATCCAATAACACCTCCAAAAATAACCAAAACATAATCTACATCCAGAGTCCTCATAATTTTATAGGCTGCTGTTTCATTCGAAGACATAGCTTTTCCTACCTACAGAATTAAAAAAATGAGAATGAGTTCACTTAAGTTCCAGTATGCACTAAAAATAAATTTCTTTTTAACCAAAAGACAGAATACATCAATAGTTGGATTTATATGGAATTTGTTTTGTAGAAATAATTTCCCATAAATATAAATTTATTAGATTTAAGTAAATTTATTAGAGATTTAAGACTATCTCACCTAATGTAACTGATTTAAAGCAGAAACACCAAAATCAAAGTGTATGTTCTAATGTTTTCCTAGTAATTAAATTTCATGAAATTAGTATTTTAAAATCAAAGTAGACAGGCTTACAGGGAACAAAATTTCTCATAACCTCAGCCCAGGAATAGCAAGAGATCTTTCTAGCACATACATATTTTTATCCCCAGTCTAGCTGATGACTAAGCTATAACACTAATACAAATGGAATTTATTTGGATAAGTTTATCTATTCTAAATTTTTAAAGTACAGAGATGTGATTAATTTATGCACATGTATTATTTAATAGTTAGAATGAACTAATCTGCATACCCATAAAATATAGTGTATTTGCTCTATATATCTGGAAATAATTTTCTTTACAGGTATTTTAAAACTTTTAGATTTTGCCTGTATCTCCAGAAACCTAAATAAGTCACAAAATCTGCCAGAAACTAGCCTATAAATTCTGAATGATACTTGAATAAATAAGTCAATAAATACCATGCTTAAAACTAAAATATATAAGTATGCCTTGAACATCAATGAATGAAGGTATTAAGAATTCAGCAACCAAAGAGTACTTTTAAATACATTTTTCCTATTTAATCATAAATGAAGGCTGATTGCTTTAAGAATTTGGTATTTTTGATCTTTTGTTTATTAAATTCTTACCAGCGCAATGTGGCTGTTATTCCATGTGTTATTATCCACCAAAGTAGTTCTATTAGCCATTCCTGCTATCTGATAGCCATAATCCCACCAGGACATCACTCGGGCATGTTCATCCGTATTTTGCCTTAGCCAAAAGTAAGCTTCTCTAAAATCATCTAAGATATTCCTGGTGCTGAAAAGAATTACAATATCCTGTTAAATGAGGTCTTATAAATGTGAAAAGGATAATTTAAAGTCTTGAGGTACTGCTAATCATTAAAAAATTTCACATTTTAAGGATGGAGGTTAAAAGCCTCAACTAATGGGGGGGAAAATCAACAAAGAGCTAGACTAGTGCTTCCTTAATGTGCATACAAACCATTTAGATACTTTGTAAAAAGAGCAGATTTTGGATCAGTAGTTATGGGGTGGGGGTTGATTGATATTCTGCATGTCTAACAAGCACCCAAGTGAAGCAGAAGCTAGGGGCTGATTCAATATGTAAATCAGTTATTCTCAAATTTTAGCTGTATCAGAAATCACCTAGAGGGCTTGTTAAAACACAGATTGCTAGGGCCCACCCCCAGAGTTACTGATTTAGTAGATCTGGGATGAGGTCAAAATGTGCATTTATAACAAGTTTCCTAGTGATGATGATGGTGGATGATCATGCTGTGAGAAAAACTGATGTATGAAATAATTTTGCAGGAATACTGGAAGAAAGCATGAAATATAATCATTACTCCTCCAAACAGGAATGCGGGCAGGGCAGGGCAGAAGGGCGGGCAGAAAAATGGTAGATTCAAAAGCATATCTTTACAACATTCTCTTTGAATTCTACCTTATAAGACACAAGAAAAAAGACAAGTATAAAATGTTTTTGTAGCCAAGTTATTTTCTTACCCATCATGATTGTAAGAGGCTAGGACCACACTTGGACTGGAGTAGGCATTGCTTGTGACCCAGGTACAATGGACTGCAAACATCATCAACAGCATCAGCATCAACATGGTAACAATGCTTTTGATATTAGGACCTAATCCCTCTTCAGTTTTTTCCTGTTCTGTTACATGTTTCCTCACTTTACCTGCCTGAAGATACAAAAACCAGTTAGAGAAATTTATCACTGGACTTATTTCATTAACATACTCATGGGAAAAAGTGAGGAAAAATGTTAATTTATGAATTTAATTCTATCACTCAGAAAACATGTAACTGTCAGGTATTCCTGAGAGAACAACACAGTATTTTCTCAAAATCATCAACGAAGATTCTAATGTCAAATGTTCATAAGAAGACTTCTTGAGGATATGTACTTAATCCAGGAGCTGGCTGTACAGCAAAATAATATCTACAAGAAGCAGCTGCTTCCAAACCCAGTTGTCCTTATGGTTTACTTAAATATAGAGGGCGATACCTAAATGGCCCCATTAGGGCAACCTTTCCTGATAAAATCTTAATTAAGCACACTGAAAATGGCAGTATCTGGCTATAATCCAGAACCATGGAGGACTTCAGTAAAAGGAAAAAATTGCACTATCAAAATAATTCTTCCAATTTCCAAACTCAACTAACAGATTTGTTAAAACTAAAATTATTTTAAAAGCAAACAAGCAAACAACAAAAAACAGGAATAGTGATTAGAAGACCAGAGTTACAGGTTTTAGATTACAAGGCTGGTTAAGAAACCACAAAACAACTAAAAATATAACAACACACACACACACACACAAACACAGCTATGTGCTTTATTAACACAAATCTTTATGCATTATATTGGTCCTAGAATAAGAAAAGGAGCTCTGGTAGCATAGTGCCTAAGGCATGTGACTGCTAACCAGAAGGCTAGAGGTTAAAACCCACCAGCCACTCCTCGGAAGGAAGATTAGGCAAGCTACTTCCATAGTGATACTGTCTCAGAAATGCAAGGAGGAGGTTCTGTGAGTTGGATCTGACTCTACAGCAGTGGGTTTAGTTTAGTTTTTTTTAGAATAATGAAAATAAGAACAATTTCAAAATTATTATCTATGCTAAGATGTTTCATTGCTTATTAGTATTTAAGAACCTAGTCAATATTCAAGGAGCTCTGGTAGCGTAGTGCCTAAGGCACTTGACTGCTAACCAGAAGGCTGGCGGTTCAAACCCATCAGCCACTCCTTGGAATGAAGATGGGGCAAACTACTTCTGTAGTGACACTGCCTCGGAAACCCAAGGAGGGGTCACTATGAGTCGGGGCCGACTCAACGGCACATAACAACAACAACAACAACAACAAGTCAATATTCAAGTGGCAAAATTAATATGTCATTCAAAACAAGTGGTCTAATTCTTACAAGTCTTTTCCATACTTATATCAAATACAGTCCTGCTTTGTCACCTGACTAACTATAGGTTAAAGCAGCATTACCTTATATGGGCCAGCTACCTATTGCTAACAAACTAGACTTGTTTCTTTAAGTCATTTTATTTCCTTTATTTTACCATCCAACTAATCAAATGTCATTTTCAAATAGCTTTCAAATATCATTATAAAAATTATATTGCATACAAACCATGGATAAGCCCTTGTTCACATGGTTTCAGCAGGGCTTTACAGGGTCAAATTTTCTGTAATTTAATAGAGTACTAGGTTCTTACTGTTAAAAATGGACAGGTATTAATAACCCTTAAGTATTTACAAAACTCCTTACTAAAAAAAAAAAACGAATTTCTCTGATTACATACTATTTTCATACTAAGCTAGAAGACCCACCAGTATTCAAATTTTAAGGCAAATAGTAGAAACCACAACTAGAGAAGGCATAGTTTGTCTAAATGCTTATTTAATCACATTTATTAACATTTGTAATTCTTGCTATGTTGGAAGGATAAAGAAAGCACATGAAATTTTTAAAGGCCTTACTTTAGATTCCCCACCTTATCATACAAGTTTCCTGGATTTCTTTTATCATCTTCATCACTGCTATCCTCCACAGGTGGGTTTTCCCTTTTCATGTCATCCCCCAAATAGTGCTCAAAAACATTTGAGAAGGCAATTGCAGACAGCATACAGACGACTGGAGTCAAAGTCAACATCAACCGCACCATCACTCCAGCAAAATAGACAGCGCTGATCGCATACAGAGCAACTGCAAAGACAAGTTCTCTTTTAACACTTAGGGACAGAGTGTTCACAGGAAACTAGATGGTCAAAACCACATTAAAAACCAAATTTAAAAACAGACAATGTATCTAATTGTTTATAAATTCGTATCTTTGTACAGATTGATAGTTGTATTCAGAAACCATTAACTAGTGTTGACTAAAACAAAACTTTATGTGAACAGTTTCACAGTAAGGTATCAAGGCTAAAATTTAATTATTGTTCCTCAGGGGGAATCATACTTTATTATCTGTCAATAGCATTACACATTAGAAAATCCATAGGTGACAGATGAAAATATAATTGCACATTATATCATTAGACACAATAAGTTTACAAGCCCAATAAAGTCTACGAAAACCCAGTGTGCCAAAATCTAGCATAAAGCCTGCTTTAAGCAAGAATGGGATGACAACATAACTTATTAACCAAAGTAGGAACTTACAAAGTTACTCCCAAGAGGCCTTTAAAATAAATTTGAAACTAGTATATAACAACCAGAACCTTTTGGATAACCAGCCAACCACAGGGGAAGGCTCTACCATTTCTAGCCAAAGGCTATGATTTCCAAAGTCAATAAGTCATTTGAGCTCCACTCTTACTGTCTTAAGCTAATTTTAAAAAAATTTTTACTTTTCTGAGGCATATATTTGTTATACCATATTCTTAAATATATAGTTCAATGAACTTTTATACATGTACACACCTATGTAATTACCATTCATATCAAAACACACAACATTTTTAAAGCTAATCAGAAAGATCCTTCATGTTTCTTCTCATTGAGTATCCCCCCTAAAACACACATCTTGCCAAAATAAAACAGGTAACCATTATTTGGACTTTTACTACTATAATTTAGTTTTGCATATTCTTAAACTTCATAGAAATAGAGTCATATAGAAATGTTCTCCTTTGTATTGACTTTTTTTATTTACCCATGCTGTTTTTTTATTAACTAAATGCTATGTTGTATTCCATTCTATACATACATCAGTTTTTGTCCACTCTATTGCTGATGACATTTAGAATGTTTCTAAATTGGGGGCTATTAGAATAAAGTTGTTATGTGCATTCTTAAATTTGCTTTTTGAGGGCCATATGGTGGCATAGTCATTAAGGCATTTGGCTGCTAACCTAAAAGTTGGTGGTTCAACCCACCAGCCACTCCACGGAGAAAGATAAGGTAGTCTGCTTCTTTAAAGATCTACAGCCTTGGAAACTTACTGAGGGTTGCTATGAGTCACAACTGACTCAATGGCAGTGAGACTGGTTTTGGAGTCTATATACTTATACTCACTTACCTAGGTGTCAAACTCCTGAGTCATGAGGAGGGCATAAATTTACGCTCAATGTTTTCAAACAGTGCATCATTCACACGGCCAGATCTAAAGGCCATTAATCTAGATAAACTGGAGAAGAATGAGTGCCTATTCTTCAGTTAAATAACTCATGGAAGTGCTCTTCCTTCTGTCCTGATTTCACTCACGACTTCATTCGAGGATAGTAACTTATATTAGTATCTAAGCTAAAGTCACTCAGGATCCCAGGTCCCATACTTGTGGTTCAAAACTTAGTTCTACTATTTATTGGCTTGTGTGACCCTGTCCATGCTACAAAGCTTTTCTTGGTTTCGGCTTTATCATATGTAGAACAGCCACAGCATACTTCTGGTGATTATTAAATCATATGGAAGCCTTTGGTGCCTGCTCATTCCGTCCATTTTTATTTATCATGTCAGATCCTAAACACTTGGCTTTTAAATACAACATTTTTAATTTAAATTCTTATTTGAAATATACATAAATCTATCAATGAAGGTAGTATTTACTTAAAGGTAATTCTTACACCATTATATAATGTACTCTGCTCAAAAACTTGGATGATGGACACCCTGTCAAACTTCTTCCTACTTAATCTGAGAAAATGAATTTAAGACTATACTGTCAACAAAGTTATAATTTCTAATTCTCAGCCACAGATGATAATAGCATTAACTGCATAGAAACCATAATAAATTGAACATAAATTTTAAACACTAGACCTGAAGTAAAACATATATTATGCAAATTCATTGCATTTTTCAAGGTTAAGCACCTACGCAAAATAGGGGACAGAATTTATTTTGTATAGAATTGAGGAAAGGAAAACAAAACTTTAAGGTGAATAATCTCAGTAAGTAACATAAATGATCATTCCAAATTAAAATATTCATTAAAAGTTTCTCTTACCGAACACTCTCTCATCATTGATATTTTTGATGCAGAACCACAGGCCTGCTGGGAAGGTACATACAAGAATATGTAGATCAAAGAAGAAAGACACCCAAGTCGTAGGCTGATGCTCAGACACTGATGCAATAATTGGAATGTGTATTTTTGCATACCTGTTATTAAAAAAATTTATTATTATTTATAATGAATGATTTGATAAAACAGGAGTTACTTTCAGAAGAATAAATGTTCACTGATTGTAAATATAGTTCCTATTTCCCACTCCACTTCTTACTTAAATGAGTATTCCAGTGAAATCAGGTATACTGAAAATAAATTTCTTAGGTAAAACTGAAACTAATATGGTCTCCTAAAACCAGGAGACTCATCTTTGGCCAGTCATAAAACTAAGAGCTCTGACTTCTAATAAAAATAACAAGCAGGAATTTGTTCTGCAGCTTACTTTAAAATTCCACATCTCCTGTTTCACTGAGCTTCATCATTATCTTTTGGACTTACTATTAGCAGAAATACCCAATAAGATATCATACTGCCACAATTCCTTGCCTGCCAAGGAGATGGCATGGAAGCAGGAGAGGGAAATGAAAAGGACTAGACAAATTATTCTCGAAATACCCTGCAATTCCAAATGAGTCAATTAAATTTTAGAAAGGAAAAATGACTTTTAACTAATTTAACCTAATCAAAATAACTGTCTATGAATGGAATTTAACCCTCAAACCACCTGATGATCTCTCAATATACAAGTCTGTTAGCTTTAGTCAATCACACAAAATATATGGCCTTAATTAGACCTGGACAAGAACCCTTGCATATAGCATGAAAGATCGTTATTGTTGTTAGGTGTGGTCAAGTCCATTTAGACTAACAGAGACTTCATATGACATGGTAAGAACTGTCCTATAGGGTTTTCTAGGCTGTAATCTTCATGGGAGTAGATTGCCTGGTCTTTCTCCTTGGAGTCACTGAGTAGGTTTGAACCACCAACCTTTCATTTAGCAGCCAACTGATTAACTGTTGCCCCACTAAGTCTTCTTTATCAAAAACCCAAACCCAAACCCACTATCATCAAGTCAATTCTGACTCCTAGAGACCTTATAGGGCAGAATAGCACTGCCCCATAAAGTTCCCAAGGCTATAAATCTTTATAGAAGCAGACTACCACATCTTTCTCCCATGGAGTGGCTGTTAGGTTAGAACCACTGACATTTCTGTTGGCAGCCAAGCCCTTTAACTACTGTGCCCTAGGGTTTCTTCTTTTATCAAAAACCCAAACCAAACCCAATGCCATCAAGTCAATTCCTACTCATTAGCAACCCCCACTGGGTTTCCAAGGTGGGAAATCTTTATAGAAGTAGATGCCCCATCCATCTTCCTTCTGCAGAGCGGCTGGTGGGTTTGAACCACCAACCTTCTAGTTAGCAGTCAAATGCTTTAGGTACTGTACCACCAGAGGTCTCTTCTTTTATCAAATAGTATTGCTAAATAAAGTGTGGTAGGTTTTTTACTGGGCCACCTAGGAAGTAATGAATAAAGAGGACAAAAAAGCAGGAGCAGAGAAGAGAGATAAATTATCAACAGATATTTTCTTATGCTTGGGAAAACACTTCAGAGGCAAAAATAATTTCTAATTAATCATCTAATTCAAAATCCCAAGTCCATTTATTATTTTATTCTGCAATAGCATTCTATAAAACACAACAAATACTCTCTAGTGTACTCCATAGATGTAAAAAAACTCAAAACGTGGTATTAGAAAAGATACTAAATTTTTCTTTGTCTCTCTGGCATATGTATTTATAATGTAGCACTTACCTAACACAACTGAAATTTAAATATTACTGAAAGATGGAAAGTTTGAATGTACTAGTCAAAAAAAAAATTAACCAAAAAAGTTGCAAACGGTACCTAGATGCTGACTACAAAACTAAAATAAGATGTTGTCCAGACAAGTAAGTTGCCCATACTGCCCATGCAGTATTATATAATCAATATAAAATACGCATTCAAAACAAGTATTACAACTAATATAAAACACAAGAGATGAACATTTACTAAACTAGAATATGCTAGGTACTTTAGAAATGTTGCCCAAGTAATGGCTGAGACACTGACCATATAAGAAGAGAAAGAAAAAGAAGGGTATTTTAATATACAGGTAATTCCTGATTTACAATGTATTTGTGTTACTATGAACTTTTTCTTTTCGTACATCTTTATCGTTAGTAATATGTACTACATCCAATGTTGCAGCTGTAATTTGCTGATGTTATCATTCTCAGATATTCACTCACAGATGTTCAAAGATTGGATTTATAAAGATTTGGACAATAAAAGGCAACAATGAAAACTGAAGTAAAAAATAAAAAGAGGTATTTGACTTAACATTAGAACCCATCTATGAAGGAGTCGTTGGAATGGAACTCTATTGTAAATTGGGAACTACTTGTAAAATGAAGACAAATAATGTATCTGCACTTACCCAGTGTCCCACAATGAGTAAAACCTGCCACTCCATGGAGCAATGTAACCTGGGAAGGAAAAACATAGAGGAAATTAATCTGCCTTTATAAAAGTTTTATTATGGATTGATGTAAACTAACATTCAACTAATTTCAGTTTTTTTTTTATTTATACCAACATATTTCAGACAGCTGACAGTCAGATAAAATAAGAATTATTAAATAAAAACAAATATCCAAAGCACTCCAGAGAAAGAGAACACTTATGCTGATAGATAAAATTTTAGAAACATTTCTAATTTTCTCAAGGTTCTAGTTAACTAGTAAAACAAGGCTGAGATTTTACGACTGCACTGAATAATTTAATAAAAAGGAATGGGGTTAAATTATTCAATTCAATATGCCAAATTCCATCAAGTGAATTACAAAACCAAAACCAAGCCAAACCCACTGCCGTTCAGTCAATTCTATCTCATAGCAACTTTATAGGACAGGGTAGAACTGCTCCATAGAGTTCCCAGGGGTGTAAATTTCACAGAAACAGACTGCCTTATCTTTCTCCCGTGGAGCAGGGCTGGTGTGTTTGAACTGCTAACCTTTCAGTTATTAGCTGAGCATTTAACACTACACCACCAGGACTCCTTGGTAAATTACAAAGCTTATTTTAAACATCCATGCCTTTTACTCCTTTCAATTAAATCCTTCAGGATTGTATGAGTTAGGCTGCTATAATAATTTGACAGACAGAATACCTTTATAAAGAATTTGACTTGTTTCCAGGGATTCAACTAGAAAGTAACTTAGAATTTAGAAGCAGACTGAAACTGATTTGGCTGATTATTCAGATATATCTATATTGTTATATAATTAGAAACTTCAACCACACATACAATCGTTGTTGTTGTTGTTATGTGCCGTCGAGTTGGACCCAACTCATAGCAGCCCCTCCTTGGGTTTTCCAAGGTGGTATCACTACGGAAGTAGATCGCCAACTTTCCTTCTGAGGAGTGGCTGGTGGATTTGAACCGCAGCCTTCTGGTTAGCAGTCAAGTGCCTTAGGCACTATGCTACCAGAGTTACATTCTTTAAAAGAAACTCAGAAATCAGTATCAAGATTCCAGATCGACTGAACTACCAAAGTAGTAGCAAAGGTAGTAGAGAGAAAGAGCCTATGAACACAAAGAAGTACATACATGAAGTAGGTTAACACTAGAAGCTTTGCATTTTACACAGTTTGGGACTCTTTTTCAGCGAGAGAAGTATGCTTGAAAGTAGATTTATCACAGCCCGAAGCAGGAAAATTATGTAAATGTACAATCTTGGTAATTTCATTTACTAGCTATAAATTAAAAAAAAAATTTTGATGGTTTGATAAAAAGCTAACATAACAGCTTGATTTAAAAAAAAAAGAAAAACCTCACTGCCGTTCAGATCCGACTCATAACAACCCCTCCTTGGGTTTCCCAGGCGGTTCTCCACGGATGTAGATTACCCAATCCTCTTTCTGAGGAGTGGCTGGTGGGTGTAAACCACCAGCCTTCTGGATAGCAGTCAAATGCCATAGGCACTAAACCACTAGAGCGGCCTTGGTTTAAATATGACAGAGTATATTACCATAGTGAGAAGTTAACTACATAATGCTGTGGGTCTGCAGAGAAAAAATTTATTGAAACTTGGCACTTGGTTAAAGGACAATCCTTGGAAGTTAAACGATGACTCTGAATAGATCATGAGAATTCTAGAGAAATAGAAGGATATAACTGCTTAGAGTCATGTGTATAGATTTCAAAGGAGGATAAAACCTGGAAACAATGAAACTTTCCAAAAAGTAAGAATATAGTTCTTTGTCTTCTCTTCCAAAGAATTTGTTCATACTATTAAGATTATGTTTCTCTCTCTCTTTCAGTAAAGTAGAGGGGCAACTTGTATAAGCTCCCAGAGTCACATAAGCTTCCTCTCCTACATTATAGACCTTTGTACCAAGTTTGTACCCCAGAAGAAGGAAAGACTGAGACCGAGGAATCTGAGTGGTTATTGCTATAATAAGAACTTAAACTTCTCCAGGAATTTTGTGCTTATTTTCAGAATAACATGAATAAATACAGATAATGAAAACTTACTAAATGTATTTTTCTCAATATAAGATACACTCTAAAAAATCAATAATTTGTACTAATGCTATTCAGATTTTAGAACTTTTGGCTGTTAGTTTTTTTTACATTCATAAAGAATACAACCATAGTATTTGATGTAGTAGAATAAATAGCACCAGTAAAAACCTTGTAAAAGAATTATTTCTGAATAATAATACAGGCACAAGATTCTCATCCTACAGGTAATGAACACTTACCTGTATAAGTCAAATAGATGACACTAAGGAACACAGCACCTGCAGCTAATGATACACCCAAAAAGAAAAGGGTCTGGAACTCTTGTTTTGTTAATCGGTCTCTCAAATACTGCAAGAAAGCATAAGCTTGCAGCAATGCAAAGACACCTAATTTAAAAAAAAAACAGTTATATCAATCAATCAATCAATCAGTCAATCAGCAAAGCACATTTCCAAGATAATTTGTAAATACTCATTTGAAAGAGCTTCTTAGAATACCCTATAAAATCACATCAAACACTAATCATTTCATTTAGCCGACATTTCCTGGTCAAATGACAGATAACCAATTTAACACATCAAAAAAACTGTTACACATTTTTCCCCAAAATCATCAGATTCTCCATACCTGTGCCACCACCCTTCTTCTACAAAAAAAAAAAAAAAAATCCCACCTGCATGCCTAAAGCCTCTCACACTGAATTCCTCCCTTTCCCCTATATTTTAGTGACATGTTTAATGGGGAAAAAGTAATAAAGCCATCATTAAGAAAATATTCTGAGATTTGCTTTGCCAAACGATGAAAATAACTTGATCGAAAAATCTGATATTACAGACACTGTTTATAGTGGGATGATAGACGTGATCTTAATAATAACATTAGGTAAAACTCTAAATTAGCACAAAAGTGAATGCTAAGTTTCTCAAAATTAAAGCAGTAACAGGAGAAAGTATGTAACTGTCAAAGTGCAAAGACATGGTAAAAAGAATGAGGGATTAAACGAAATGAAGAAGACACTCTAACCCATCTGAAATAATGATTAAAGTTTAAAAAAATTATACTGAGAGTTCTTAAAAGTTCATTTTAGAATTTCTAAAAAAATATTATCAAATCTTAGATTTTAGGAAATATAATAACATATATGCAGTAAAAAGTCAGGTGACTGTGTACTTGCATAAATAGTGCTTTACATCTGTTCTACATAATTGCATGCTCAAAACTAAATATCCATTTCTCTATGTTTCAAATTACTATTTGGAAAATTGGTATCATCAAATCAAAAACATAAACATATTTCATAGATTTTAAAATGCTACATAACAGTAAGGTAAAGTTCTTTACTTCTGGGGGAATGTTGAACCTAATAATAAAAGTTATGAAAGCAACTTCATGCAATAAAGTTTTAGGTACCTACACTTATAAAATGTCACAAATAAAATAACTCCCACAGACTTCACATTTGAGTCATAGAACTCAGAGTATGAATCTGACAAAGTTTATTCACGGATTTCTCATTATCTTATCAGCTGCAGCCCAGATAATAAAACTGTTCTATATAGAGGGGAATTATAAAAAATTATTCTATAAACAATATAAAAAAACAAATTCATTGCCATCAAGTGGATTCCAACTCACAGCAACCTCATCAGGTTTCCAAAGCTGTAAATTTTTACGGAAGCAGACTGCCTAATCTTTCTTTCGTGGAGGGGCTGGTGGGTTTGAACCACAGACCTTTTGTTTAGCAGCCAAATGCCTTAACCACTACACCACGAGAGCTCCTTATAATCAATATACAAGTCATTGTCATTTTAGTGAGACATAGGAGACATAAAACTTAAATGTTTCATCTAAATTTGCTGAAATGGAAGCTCAGTGATACAGTAAAGCAGAGCTATACTACTGTTTAAAATTTGCTCCTCCAAATGTTATTCAGTATTTGCAAATAGCATGGATTATGCAAAAAGGGATGTTTTTACCTTTTTTTAAAAAACAGCAATGGCTCAATACACACACACACACACACACTTTGGAACACAGAAACTCTCAATAAAACTCTATATGGTATTCCTATTTGAAAGTGGTGATGTTTTAGAATCAATATGATGAAAATTAAGGAGCTCTGGTAGCGTAGTGCCTAAGGCACTTGACTGCAAACCAGGAGGCTGGCAGTTCAAACCTACCAGCCACTCCTCGGAAGGTCGGGCAATCAATCTACTTCCGTAGTGATACTGCCTTGGAAACCTAAGGAGAGGTCACGACGGCACATAACAACATGATGAACAATCAAAAACAAAATAAAACACCTTCATTCCCCTGGAAGACTGGCCAATCACACATTTACATATTCTTTAGAAAAAGGAAAATGAGTATTTCTTCATACCTGCAGCTGCCATGTGTTCACTTGTTCTGATTGGCTGGAATCCCACAAAGGGTATCTGCATGGATAATATTAAACCCACAATGTAGAAAGTGCTATATGCTATAAAGACAAAATAGGAAACAAGGACAATTTACTACTACCACTAAGTATTCAAAACATAAATGTGTATATGCATCTTATGCTTTTTTGTTTTAAATAAAAGTTTTAATTAAATTTAAGTATGGAATCTTGAAATGACTATTCCATTTAATACATACTTGATTGTTAATCTTAATTATAAATCATGAAAATTCTGACAATTAAAAAAAATTATCTTAATTATTCTGTGAACATCATTTGCTTCCCTTCTCCTAACTGAATTGTTTTGTTTCAATCCCTTAGTAATCACTGATGTTACTCAAGAAGCTACATCACACACATATGAAATAAATAAATACTATTCCCATTGGCTTTAACTCAAAATATGCAGGAGCTAAAGAATACTTATCATCATCATCAGAATATATGAATAACAGCTATTTTCTAAAAGCTCTTTACTATTTCATACCCTTTTTATAGTCTCATTATAATCTTTGCACAGTAGTACTTATGAGTAAAAAATTAAAAATGTTATACCCCTATAATTAAAGAAAAGGAATGCACAGATATCAAGCCATAAAACAGACCTGTTACTATAGAATGGGAGAACAATGTGGAACAAAACTCAAAATCATTTGGAGGCAAAAAAAAAAGAAGGTGGGGACCAGGTTTGCTGGTCCAATAGAGCCTGGTG